GATCTATCAATTGGCTCCTCTTCGTCGTCGCTCTGTTAGTACGTCATTTGCTTCGTTGATCTGATTGGTTTATTTGGCCAGTATTTTCGCCCCTTCCCAGAATTACTTCAACGGAAGGTTTCCAGATGGATTTGCTCCGCATATCCATCTGGCGGAGTCAGGTTTGCAACTTCAAGTTGTTGCCCATTAACCTAACTGTTCATAATTTATTCTTTATGGTACGCCAGCATTCATATCATGCAGATGAATCACTGTCCCACAGACATCCGCCGTTATATTTTATATTTTTTAAAAGAAAACTGAGTGCGTATGACGTCATCCGCACGCCGGACTGGCCACAGGCGGCTACGCTCTACCCCTTCTATTCATTCTAGCTAATCTGAATCATTCATTTGCAGAGCGAGATCATCTGTGGTAGCAGCTCTAGACATCTTCCAGGCATGTGAGGAAAACTAGCAGCAGTTCAGTGGACAGGAAGAATGAACGGTAGCCGGCGTGCGCGGATGACATCATACACACTCAACTTTGTTTTTAAAAGATATAAATATAGAAAATCTAACGGATGTCTGGGGGACAGTGATTGGCCTCCATGTTCTGAATGCTGGCGTACCATAAAGAATAAATGATGAACAGTTTAGTTTGTGCCTTCAAGTCGTTGCCCATAGGAAGACGTTACTTGGATATAACCTGACGGAATATCTTCAGAACGGCTCCAAATGACACTAAACTCATATGGGAGAGTAGAACATGATGGAATAACGGAAAATCAAGGGGCCAATGGAGGGAAAAAAAACGGCATTCCCCTTTTAAAGGAAAAGTCCGCTAATATTTAGATTTCAAACTTCTGAAAGTACTTTAAATATCAAATATTACATACTGTTCAATGAATGTTTTTAATTAAGAGTAATTTACATTTAATGTAAAATTTACTGGAGGCATCCATGTTTGTCAACTGTCAGTTTTGTCACTGCCGTCTGCAGCGGCCATCTCTCTGCATAGCCATTTGTGAAGGACCGCCGGCTCTGATGGCGAGTTTTTTTTAATTTTATTTAGCAAAAATGTTCATTTGATTTGTTTATCTGTGTTCATTATTATTCCCCGACTAAATGAAAAAACGAATAATTATTATCTAGAGCAGGGGTCACCAACCTTTTTAAGGCTGAGGGCTACTTCATGGCTACCGAGTCATAGGAAGGGCTACCAATACTGACCTATGAACTGGAGGGATCAATGTTCACCTACAGTAAATCTCATCCATAAAAACTAATTTTTATTCTTATTTTATTCTTTTATTTCTAATTTTCTTTAATATTGTCATTTTGAAACCACTGAAATATGATGAAATAGTTAACATGATGAAATAATACATAAATGATTAAAAAGAAGAGCAACAGAAAAAAAAAAAATTAAACTTCTGTTTTCAGAAGACGAAGAGGGCCCCCCATGTGGTCCTTGAGGGGCCCTTGGTGCCCGCGGGCACCGCGTTGGTGACCCCTGATTCTAGAGAGTATTAATAACAGGAGAGAAAATGCAGCTCCAGAGTGGCTTTTGACCCATATCTATCCACACTTTCCTGTGTTCTTCTGAAGAACGTACCTGGTGATGAATTGAGAAACGGCCAATCTAAATTTACTAGTGGCCTCCTGCGAGCGGGATACCTCTTTAGCCAGCGACACTGGCTTGCTAGAAGTTGCCATGACAATTTAACTTCTGTGAACTTGTGTAGATTAGGCCTAAAAATAAATTAAAATCCAAATACACATAATAGTAAAATAAGTCAATCATTTCCCAAAATATTAATTAGGTTGTAAATTGTGCAAAGTGTTTTTAATAGATTTTAAAAATCTCCTCGTCTTTAGGGGGTGCTGCAGCGACCCCATCACCCCCACTTCCTGCGGCCGACCTGTAACTGCACCAAGGTTTGTTTATAAAATATTAGGTTCTATTTCTATATAAAATATTTTAAGTCAAATTCAAGTTCGTTAAAATAAAAATCAGGATTTTGATTCCCAGCTAATTTAGCTTGTTTAGACTGACTTACCAATTCTAAATCCTTATTGTTCACAGCAGCCGGTGCAGACTCTCCTCACTTGTTTAATAACTTTAAAATGTAAAAAAAAAAAGTTTTGGAACGTGCAGGAAAAAAATTATGTTTTAACCTGAGAGGCTAAATGCACAAAAAAAGCAATTAAAACTATGATTGTGAATTCGTTCCTTGTGCTCCAGCGGACTGCAGCATCCGTTAAGAACACCTCGATCACCATGATAGGTATCCATCCCTCTGCTTTTCCATCCACTGAAGAGAATGATGACCAATGCTAATGCAAGCTAACCCCTGCCAGCAGATTTTATGGTTCATTGAAAATGCAGACGTGAATGACGAGAGGTTGAGAATGCAGTGACTCTTCGATCGAAGTGCAAGAAGGAAAAACAAGTTTCTGCAGAGACTAGATCAGCTTAAAACTGTAGTTTGATTGATTTGCAGCTGCAGGATGTCGTCCTCAGCAGCCAGTGCTGCTCAGTAATGACGTACCGGCCCTTTAAAGGGCGATTGAATAAAGTCTGGAAAGGTGAAGCTCACAACTTGTTTGATTTAGCTTGAAGTAACTCATCTTCATCCATATTTAGGAACCACAAACTTTCACTTTGGAAATGATGCCTTTGTTTCTGATGCAGGGGCGGATTTAGGAAATTTGGGGCCCTAGGCAAAGACAGGCAGGGGCCCTCTGAATTGAAAAGCCAACACAAACAGCCCCATTCTCTAGATAGAGAAATGTTAATAGAATAGACATCCATTATCTGTTCTAGGTTGTGTCCCTCTCTTCTTGTCCCTTTTCTTCTTGTTTTCCTCTCTATGTTTTGTACTCAGCTGACTTTTCATGCTGTCTCTAAAGGAAGGTGACCAGATTTCTGA